TCCCAGGACCCTGGGATCATGACCCGAACCGAAGGCAGACGCTTAACGATGAGCCACCCAGGCGCCCCGTCCTAAGAATTTTTTGTTTTAGTTTTTAACATTTAGGTCCGTGATCCTTTTTGAGTTAATTTTTGTGTATGGTATAAGATAAGGGTCCGACTTCATTCTTTTATGTGTAAAGCACCAGTTGTTAAAAAGACTATTCTTTCTGCATGGAATGCTCTTGATATTGTTGAAAATCAATTGACTACATATGTGAGGGTTTATTTCTGTACTCTCTGTTCTGCTCTCTGGTCTCTATGTCTCTTCTCATGTCAGTACTATACTGTTTTAATTACTGTAGCTTTGTTAATACATTTCAAAGTCAGGAGGTATGAGTCTTCCAACTTTATTCTTCCTTTTCAAGGTTGTTTTGACTATTTGGGTCCCTTGAGATTCCATGTGAATTTTAGGATGAATTTTTCTATTTCTGCACAAAGTACCTTTGGGACTGAATTAAAGCTGTAGATTGCTTTGGGTACTTTTGATATCTTAAGAGTATTGTATTCCAGTTTATGAATGCAGGATGTATTTATGGCTTCTTTAATTTCTTTCAACAATGTTTTGTAGTTTTCAGCTCTTTAGTTTTTCACCTCCTTGGTTAGATTTATTCCTAAGTCTTATTGTTTTACATGCTGGTACATTCTTTTTTTTTTTTTTTTTTTTTTCCTCCCTAAATTCTCCTGGTATCATTTAGTAGGTTGCTGCCTGAATATATAACTCATGCTCTTTGTGAACAACTTGAATGTGTTCGTGAAGTTGTTAAAGGATTTTCTTAGAAAGTAGTTTAGTTCCTGAAAAAAAAATCTGGCTTAATATCTCAGATTGGGAGAACATTTTTGCTTATTGGTTGAATGTTTCTTGAAAATGATTAATTGCTTATACTCAGGGCTGTGCATTATATGTGTATATGCCCATAAATACTGCTCTCCGTGGGGTTCAGAGATGATTGCTGCTGGTAGGTTGTTGTGCATGAATGCACATGTCTGAGAGAGGTGGAGTGTGTGAGAGCAAGGACGACAGACAGACTAGCACAACTGATTGGGAAGTTGAGGTCTGTATAGCATCATACAACCAGTGTAGTTTTTGTTCTTTGGAATAAACTTGCTCATTGAAGTGCCAATATAAGTGAATAAGATACATGTTCTCTCAAGTAAATCCTTCATCTGTTTTTGTCACATGTCTTCAGGGAGGCTTGATGTCACAGCCTCAGAGTTGCAGGCTCTGTTTGATGTCCTTTTCTGACATCTGTGGACAGATATGAAAGATAACTGACTTTTTTTTTTTTTTTTCAATTTTTTATTCTTATGTTAATCCCCATACATTACATCATTAGTT